CACGTATAGCAGGTCAGGCAGCATCATAGAGCGCAAGGAAAGTGAATTAACGTTTCAGGTCGATGACCTTTCGTCAGAAGTTCTAAGCTACATAGTCCTGTAGTTTAGTGGTTAGAGCACTCACCTTGCAAGCGACAGACCTGGGTTTGATTCCCTGCAGGGCGAAATGTTGAGCAAGTTTCCTTACTCCACACGCCTTTGTTCACCGAGCAGTAAGTAGGAACCCGGTTGTCAGTCGATTGGCAGATTGCTTTTCTGGGGGTAATAATCCTTTCCAAAAAATTAATAAATAAATAATAATAATTTGGCTACTCAAGCTACGATTGTTTGTGGGACACTGCTGTGCGCAATTAGTTGCCGCGCTTCACCCACAAAGTATACAGTTAATTCACTTTACAATATATTCTATGAAGCGCTTTGAGACATCTCGAAGACTTGATAAGGCGCTACATCAAGTGCAAGGATTATACGTATTACCTTATATAAACCCACATCCTATTATTTCATGTTCCATGAAGCCACTACCAAAATAACACTTGCATCCATATTTAGTAAGTCCCTTCCCTTTAAAACTATGTCATTCTGAGGTCTAATCATGCTCTGCGTCATTACACAATTACAAGGTTAAACAGCCAATAATCAAAAAATTCTTAGCATGTACAAGATCATGAACCATTGCCAGAACAATAGTAGTCTTCTTGATGATAAAACAACTGAAACAAACCTTCATTGATGTATAAATTGCCACAAAGCAGCTATCGTTTTAATTAAGTTGCAGAAGCTTTGTAAGAATGCTTTGAAAAATGTAAAACTGTTTTATGTTCTGACAAGCATGTAATCTTAACAGATTTATTTGTAACAAGTTTTATTTTGAGTTTAGTGCCTGTAAGGATATCATCAGTCTGAGGCATGTTGATCAGCAGAACATTATTTATATAAAGGTTTTCATTTACAAAAGTATTGATAACACATGGATGCCAAAAACATCCTCAAACCGTAACCATAGCACAATTTCAGACTTATATGTTTCAACTTATGAAAACACATGGCATCATTGAAGGGGATTTGAAAAGTAATAGAATGCCAATTCATCGTAAATCAATCAGCTATGAATACATTGGAGTTGGCTGTTCTCAACCAGGGCATTGATGGTTCCATTTCAATTATTATCATTGCTTTCAGGCTTTGGAAGCGAAAAGCTTTGGCATGTCTCCCTTATTCAATGCCATCTAAAAAACATGGAGTAACGTAATGGGGATGTCATACAAGGTCAGGCCTTGCGTTTGCTGTTTGCTATCATGTCCTCCTCTGATCAATAGTCTGCTCACAATCACCATCTACAGACAGACATGTGAATAATGACAGGTTGAAAACTAAAAGGTTGCCGACACCCAAGGAACCATACTGAAGAATAAAAGATAAGAAATGTGGAATGGAAGCTAAATGAAGGCCAATTTTAAAGGGACAAAATCTTCATCAAAGTGCTAAAAGCTTTGAAAATGTGTTTATGAATAAAACCAAAATAGTGTGATATCCCCATCAATTTGATTCTTAGAACATAAACAACATAAAGTCTTCAAATCTGCAAAAAAAAATGATCTGGGTACTGTATAAAGTCTTAAAATCCAAGAGAAAAAAGGATGTAACACATTCTACATTTCACACTCAAAGCAAGCAAATATCAGACAGACATCATCAACCTCTCATTGTCCACTGGCCGCAGCCTCATCACCACCATCCTCAAAAACCCTTTCCTGGACCCATCCCTGTTCTCCAATTACCGCACCATTTTCAACCTCCCTTTCCTTTCCAAGGTCTTGGAACGAGTCATTGCTTCCCAGCTTCACTCCTTCCTCTCCCACCACTCCATCTACAAACCCTTCAGGTTTCGATGCAGCCCACAGCACAGAAACAGCTTTGGTCAAAGTGACAAATGACATTTTGTTCATCTGTGACCAGTGCTCCCTCTGTCTCCTCATCTTCCTTGACCTCTCTGCTGTCTTTGACACTGTTGACCATGCTATCCTCCTCCACCGCCTCTCCTCTCACTTCAACCATCATGGTCTTGTCTTTGACTTTCATGGTCTGTCCAGCGCCTTGGGACGTCCTCCTGACATGAAAGGTGCTATACAAATGTAATTGTTGTTGTTGTTGTTGACTGGTTTAGATCCTACCTTTCACACCGTCTCCACTTTGTCTCCACAAACGGTTTCTTCTCCAACCCCCGCACCATCTCGTGTTCCTCAGAGCTTTGTCCTTGGTCCTCTCTTCAACTTGTACATGCTCTCTCTTGGTGATATCATCCGCAGACATGGGATCAACTTCCACATATATGTGGATAGCACCCAACTCTATCTCTGCCTCCACCCTCGACTCCAGGACCACTGCTGTCCTGACAGAATGTCTGTTAGAATGTCCTGACAGAATGTTCACATCTCCCGCCCTACATCGGTGGTCGGGCCTTCAGCCTCTCAGCCCCTCGGCTCTGGAACTCCATTCCCCAGTGCCTTCGCCGCTTCCTCCCTTTCCTCCTTCAAGGCCGGTCTCAAGACCTTTCTCTATGACCGTGCCTTCATTTCCCCTCTCGACTCTCTACCCCTCCTCGCTCCCTCCCTTCCCTCCGCTCACCCTGAGCATTTCTCCCCTGCTCGGGTCCCGACCCAACTGTCCAGCGCCTTGGGACGTCCTCCCGACGTGAAAGGCGCTCTATAAGTGAAATCTTGTTGTTGTTGTTAGACATCAAGTCCTGGATGAGAGCTAACTTTGAACGTCAACAAGACCCACACTGCCCTGATTGGCTCCCGTCAGCGCTCTATATCTCAGGCATTGGCAGCATCACAATCCATGGATGTACACTCCACTGCACAGAACCAGTCTTGGAATCTTTGTGTCTTGTTTCATCCTCAATCGTCCTTTCTACCACATCTGTGCCATGACCTGCTCTGCCTTCCCCCACCTCCACAACACCGCTCAGCTCCTCCACTGCCTCAGGCCGCTGAAACCCTCATCCACGGATTTTAAATCTAGGCTCGACTACACTAATTCCCTGCTTGTCGTCCTTCCTAACGCTTCCCTCCACAAGCTGCAGATGATCCAGAACTCTGCAGCTCGTGTCATCTGCCACACCAGGCTCTGTGACCCTATCACCCCGCCCTCGCCTGGCTCCCCACCCTCCAGAGAATAGAGTTCAAAATCCCTTCAAAGCCCTGCATGGCCTTGCTCCTTCTTACCTCTGTGATCTGCTAACCCTACATCAACCTGTCCGCTCCAGCCTGTTCCACGTCCTCCGCCCGTCCCACAATCAGCGGTCCAGCCTTCAGTCCACTCACTCTTTGGAACTCCATTCCACATTCCCTTCATCTTGCTCCGTCCCTTTCATCCCTAAAAGGCATGTCTCAAGACCCTCCTCTTCGACCATGCCTAAGACCACCCTCCTACCCCTACCCTTCACCGCTCCTGTTCCCAGCCCCCAGCTCGAGTCCAAATCCCTGACGATCCAGTGCTTTGGGACATCCTCCTGATGTGAAAGGCTCTATATACAAATGTGATTTGTTGTTGTTTTGGTATTGCAAGAATTCGGACATTATCCCATATTTTTGCATGCTTTTAAGTGAAGATTGCTTGGCTCTTGCCGAGCTTCGTCTAATACTTTCCAGAATTAGCTTTTTTTCGGTCAGCCGGGTGTCTGACACAGGCGTAAATCCGTTATCACGCTTAAGAGTATCCAAACCAGACTAAGAATTCCATGCATCTGAAGTACACATGGAAATCCCAGAGATAAGGTGTTTGGAATGGGATGGAATGGAATACACACTCTCTCCGCTCACCTAATCCCAGAAGGTATTACAACAACTTGAGATATAGCGCCCCCTCACACGGGGTAGCGTCCCTGATTACCTGGTGTCCCAGAGCGCTTAAAAATATTAGGCGAAGGTGAGCGAGAGCCAAGGCTTAGGGACCCCAGAGAGTGCAATGGAGGAGGGGTGGGGCTGCATGTATTTGGCGTTGATCACGTGTCCGTGCTCTCCCATCCCTGTCCTCGCCCTCGCGTCAGTCACTGGACATTGCTCCCTCCGGACCCTTGTGTAGGTAGCGCCCTTCACATCATGGGATCAAGGGCGCCGTAAAAGCCTCACAGCTTGTGATTGCTATCACTGTCTGGTAACCTTTCCCTCAGCTCGTCCGGCTCGGACCGCCTGACTGACATCAGGGGCTTTGGCTTACAGGGTTAACAGGAGCTGAGCGCGAGGCTTCCCTGCGCCCCTACTGTGACACGTGCTGTGTACGGCACAACCTTCCCCTCGGCGCCGGCCTCGTGACGCACTTTGACCGTTTTTGACCGTTATTTGGTTTGAAAAGCCGCCCGCGCCCTCCCTACGTCACACAGAGCAGCAGGTGCGTCGGCGTCGCCCGTCAACAAGCGCAATCGTGCGGTTGGCCAGCCGTGATCACGTGGGCTTTCCCGCTTCCCCCCCCCCCACCCCCGTCCCTTCCTATCAGACACACAACACTCAGGTCAGCGGTGCGCATGCGCCATCGGGGGAAAAGCGCGGAGGAGGGGTGGGGCTGCATGTATTTGGCGTTGATCATGTGTCTGTGCTCTCCCTTCCCTGTCCTAATCATCGCGTCAGTCAGTGCGCATTGCTCCCTCTTCTTTCCTTGCGCGCGGCTTATTATCAGGTAGGGGCAGGCAGGCAGGCTCCCCGAGCTCGACGGGCGGGTGAGCTGAGGTGAGCAACGCGCATGCATGTACCGAGGAGCGAGCAGCCTCCCCGAGCACGACGGGCGGGTGCGGTGAGCAGCGCGCGTGCGCGTACCGAAAAGCGAACGGGCCGTCACGTGCGGGAAAGAGCAGCCTCCCCGAGCACGACGGGCGGGTGAGGTGAGCAGCGCGCATGCGTGTCCCTACCCAGCGAGCGAACGGTGACTGGCATTACGTCAGTGGGCGGAGCCCGGGATCCCTGGGATTCAGTGAGTGACGGGCGCGAGGCGCACAGGTGAAGTGGAGACAAAGCCCTCAGGTGAGTGCAGGGACAGCAGTGCATCTGCCCCCCACCCCCCCCCCACCACCCCTCGGGCTTCATTGTAACCCCCAAAATAAGCTGATTTTCTATTCCCTTTATTGCAGCAAAAGGCAGCAGTTTGCGCCAAACCCCAACCTTTGCTTTGTCCGTCTTCTCGGATTTATTCATTTTTTAATGATATTTCCTCTTCTTGAGAATGTATCACATACGAGGATTATTATCTAATAGTTCCCCCTCCCAACCCGCCCACCCCCCCTCTCTCTCTCTCTTTTTCTCTTCTCTCAAAAAAAACATTTTTTTTTGGTCTCTTTCTTGTAATGCCGCCCCCCCCAGTATCGATCCGCTTTGGGTTTGTTCCGCTTGAATTTATTATTTTTTTTAAAGAAAAGAAAGCTTTTTAATGGCGTTTGTCCGTCCTCTGCTCGTTGTCTTGTACTTTGGTTTCAGTCCAGTGAGAGTGAGGTGTTCCCCCCCCCCCTCCGCACTTGTCCTACTGCGCTATTAAGAGAGAGAGAGAGAGGAGAAACATCTGCTTTGTTTTTAGTGGTTATTATTGTGCTTTCTGTTGTCATATTGAGAGAGAGAGAGAGAAAGAAAATCTGCTTTATTTTCGGAGTTATCAGTCGTGTTCAGGCTGAGAAAACTACCTGCCTTTTATTTGGTGAATGGTTCCTGGTTGGATCTGGTCTGTTATCAGCCCCTCAGGGCGAGCTGCTGCTTTGCTCGTGTGCTTCAAATGGACTGGTTTTAATTTCCCTTTCCGCAAACAAAATGCCTCATAATCTTCCCCCCTTCCTCGGATCTCACCGAAATGACTGCGACGAGCTTTCGGAAATTGGCAACACTTGCGGTTAAACGGACCTCTGTCACCGGTGCGTTGTCACCGAACCCGGTAACTGTTTTAAATCAGGAGATTTTGGAGTGGGGGGAGACATTGCTCACTCCAGAGAGGGGAAGGGGGGAGTGTTAGTTTTGAAATGCTTTTCTGGTGTTCTGTATCAATCACTGTGTTGTAATTTCACAGTTGGGGTGTCATTCCTCGACTGCTTTCAATGTTTTTCTGTTTCTGTTGTTTTATAAATCACACCCTGTTTTCCCCCCTGATAGACGGGCCGATCTTTTATAATTAATATTAAGAATCCTCGTAAACAAAATACTGCAGAGGCTGGAAATCTGAGACAAAACCAGAAGTCACTGGGAACACCCAGCAGGTCTTCTGCAGTATTAGCGACTTCTGCAGGATTAACACATCTATTCCTCTGCTTTGTTGCAACCCCCCCCCCCCCCTTTGTTTTGCATCGCTAACACCCTTTTAACCCATCATCCCCTGTCCTCTACCCCATTTTCTCCTTTGTCTTCCTTGCCCTGCCTCCCCCCTCTCTGTTAGCCCTTAAAAGTCAACGTGCACCTGTTCTGATGAACGGTTGTGGACCCGAAACGTTGACTCACTTTCCTTTCTCCATAGATGCTGCCTGACCTGCTGAGTGTTACCAGCGGCTTCTGTTTTTGTTATAAGAATCCTTGTGTTTGATATAGCACCTCATCACATTGTCGAGACTTCTCAAAGCACTTCGCAGGGATATACAATCAAGTGGATTGACTGTGTATTTTGCGAGTGAAAAAACAAACAAATTCTTTGTATGAATCGCATGTGCAATTGAGGTTGTTTTCTTTCTGTTTTCCAGTTGCAGGGATATTCCGGTTCAGCGGCCTACATGAACGATAACCCACCACCTTATCCGGGGCCTGGCCCATCCGGATACCCACCTTACCCACAGCAACAATATGTTCCAGGCCCTTACCCGGGTTACCCTCCCACCCATGGAGCACAACCTGCGTACCCGGGTTACCCTCCCTCCCATGGAGCACAGCCTGTATACCCAGGTCACCCACAGTACGGCTGGGGGAACGAACAGCAGCCGGGAGCAATGTACACAAACATGCCAAAAAGTACACCTAACACAGGTACTATACTGACTAACTATTTACATGCAGAGCTGTTTTTTTTCCCTTAAAAGATCAGTCCAGTAAAATCACCCCCCCCCGCCCTCCTACTTTCTTCAGCTGAAGGTTCTTGAGAAAGAACCCCCTCACCCCTCCCCCCATTCTATACTGTAAATCCATGTTCTCGATTAATGCAGTTTTGAGATTGTCTGAATTCTTGATCATACAGAACCCTTAGATCGTGTCCTCTCCTACACCAAACTCTGTGACCCCATCACCCCCATCCTTGGCTGGTTTCACTGGCATCCGATTTCCCCCAAAGGATGAAATTCAAAATCCTCGTCCTCACCTTCAAGGCCCTCCACGGCCTTGCTCCTTCCTACCTCTGTGACCTGCTAACCCCATGTCAACCTCTCCGCTCAGCAGACTCTGACCTGCGCCACATCCCCTGCCTGGCCAGCCCCATCATCAGCAGTCGGGCCTTCAGCCTCTGTCCACACCCTTTGGAACTCCCTCCCTTGCCTCCTTCAAGGCACATCTCAAGATCCTCCTCTTCGACTGTGCCTTCGGCCACATTCCTACCACTTGTCTCCCTACCCTCCACCCCTCCTGATCCAAACACCCAGCTCGGGTCCAAATTCTTGACTGTCCAGCGCCTTGGGACGTCCTCCCGACGTGAAAGGCACTATACAAATCTAATTTGTTGTTGTTGGTCTGTCCCATTTGTGCAGTGACAATTTCAGCAATGTGCTTGGGTATTTATTAACGCTAGATGTATTCATACATTGTGAGTTTCAGCTATAAAATTTAAGATAAAATCTATGGAAAAGCATTGATTAATTGATTGATCCTCAAGCTTCCGTTAAGTGTGGGGCTTTCGTGAAGTGTGGAGTTTTACAAATTGCAAATGAGTTTTCCCTTCTCTCCCATTCCCCCTCCACCACCCCCTCCAACCTTTAAACAATACAAAAGGGTAAATCTTGCATCTGTTTAGTCTGTTGTTGAGCCAGAGATTCCACATACTGTGTTTGAAATATTTACTCTAAATTAACCTGATAGAAATGGGCACTGAATGTTTTTTATTTGCCAAATCAGTGTTTGTGAAGCTACATAGCTCTTGGAATGTAATCATTCTTCCTCTGTACTTTTAGGGTAGATCTTAACTTGCTTGTTTGTAGATGGGCTTTATCAGAATTCAGACTGCACCATATTCTGTTTGGGGGAATTCAGAGAGTGAAGATAGAAAATTATCTCCTGCAAGTAACATTTGAATCTGTGCTAAGTGTCAGACAGACAACTTAGCTTGGAACTTTGTGTTGAATCAAATTGGTTTGCTGCACGACGAAATGTGCAGTGACAACACAAGAGGCCAACCTTTAGTGTTCCATCTGTAAAGTCCAACTGAACAACCTTAAAATAACAGAGTGATGCAAGCAACAGACTCTTTCTTTGCTTTACGTTTACCAAAGGACTGAAGCTGGGAAAAGGATGTGATCTGATGCTGAAAATGTTACATTGCAGTTAAGGAATTGTGTCAAAGTGTTTTGTAGTCAAATTAATTGCTCACTGAAACCCAAGTCATTAGGCAAATGGGGAAGACACTGCATGTCATCTGATTGGGCTTCAGTTTATAAATTTACCTCATTAAGGGAACATGATTTGTAGGATTTTTTTTCTTGTTGGTTACTTGTGCACATGCAAATCCAAAATGACATATTGAAATGCACTTCCTGGATTTTTCCATCTCCACTAATGCATAGAGGATGCAAGAATAGGAAACTCAATTGTTCCAATGAAAAGAGTGAACTTGCCAACTGAAAAACTGGAAGAGATCTAGGGGTGTTCGTTGACTCATTGTTCATTATGTCAAAACAGTGTGAGGCACAATAAACAATGCAAACAAGATGGTGGGTTACATTGCTAAATCAGTTGAATTTGGATCCTCAGATATACTCAGGCTGTACAGTGCTCTGCTCAGAACTTACCTTGAGTACTGCATATATCATCGCAACATAAGGGGGCTGGGATTCAGAGGGGACCTCGTAGAGGTGTATAAAATGTTAAACAAGCTTGAAAGTAAAGCCAGATCACTATTTTAGGATGCACCAAAATGTTAGAACAAGAGGACATGGGTTTAGAGGAGTAAAGAGCAATTTCAGGGCAGAAACCAGGAAGTGTTTCTTGACTAGATGAAAAATTAGCACGTGTTAATAATTCGATAGGCCACTAGTGGAAAGAGTTTATTGCATAAGATGAAACATAAGGTTTAACCATCTGTAATCAAGTTATACTACATATAGCACAATAACAGTATTACACATTATACTACACATAACAACACAATAACAATGCAACACATAGCATGCACACAGGGGTTGTTCAATCCTCCAGACAAACAACACACCTCAAAATACACAGCAGAGATCAGCCCCTGAAAAACCCTCAGGGACAACTGATTCTGCAACACAAAACTTCGGAAGACAGACAATCCCCATTGCTGTCTTTTAACCAGCACCAGTATGGAGTTCAGCCTCTGGAATTGCCCCTCGGATATAGCTGATCCTCACAGTACCTTACAGCCCTTAATACTGACCATACAGGAACGACAACACACACAGACAATCCCCAGTACTGTATTTTAAGTACTGACAATACAGGGACGATAACACATATCCAGGCACTGTTTTGTACTCCAGACTAAACAGTAGACCTGGGATCACACCTTGACATGCACTGGAGAGCTCACAGAACTATCATTCTGAGTCACAGACAGTGGCTCCTGGAAACCCAACAGAAACAATCAGCTCTTAGCCCAGCACCTCACTCGTACTGTCTAACTTCTGTGTTTCAAACGGACCAACCACTACTACTGTTACTACTTCTATGCCTAGCAAACAGAACCAAAAACATAGTACCCACTATTCCTCTTTCACTTTGCATGGTCACTTTCTTACTGGAGGTACATTCCCTCACCCCTGTACATATACATAGATACAGTAGAATCGATATCGATTCCACTGGGAAGTGTGCTGACCTTCTACACAACTCCACTATTTCAAAGTTACATCTTTTATGTGTTTCTAACTCCCACTTTCCCTGGTCACAGAGATAGCCCCCACCCGCAGGCTGCTTTTCACAGAGAGAGATACGGACAACGTCTGGGCAACCCTCCAAAGCCTGCTTGTTTCTCAGCCTTGGGACAGGCAGGTGTCTGAGGCTGCAGCCTTTTCTTTCTGTGGTCCATTGTTCTTACATTTGTACTCAAGCACCCGATTGCTCATTATCTCAGAAGAGTGAACATCTTCCCAGGAACATATGAAATGTAATCAGAAGCTGACCTCAACCCGTCCAGCAAAGCTACTTTTAACCATTTAACCATCAAACCTTCTGGAACATTCAGTTGCTGTTAAAATATACCATTGTATCCCGAGGTGATAGTCAATATATTTCAACACATGAGGGTTCTGAGAATCCCCACCAATATAAGTGAAGTTGCTGTTAAGTATTTTTGCCAATCCTACTTCTATTTCTTGTTTGCTCATCATTTCAATTCCTGTTATTCCAAAATATCTTTCATATTACTAGAAATTGCATAACCTTTTCTGCTGAACTTCCTGAGTATTGTGTACAGTAATATTACAAAATGAATGCAATGAGGAAATAAAAGTTCAGAAATTCATAGTGCCTTATGTTGTTGAGAAATGTCAAAGCACTTCACAGAATAGACTACTATCGAATTGGCTATCACCCTATCAGGCAATGCATTCCAGATCCGAACAACTTGTTGTGCGAAAAAAAATCCTCACCTCCCCTCTGTTTCTTTTAACGACCATTTTAAATCGGTGTCCTCTGGTTACCGATCCACTCACCCGCCAGTGGAAATAGTCTCTCCTTGTTCACCCTATCGAATCCCCTCAGAATGTTGAAAACTTCTATTAAGTCTCATCTGAACCTTCTCTGCACCAAGGAGAATAATCCTAACTTCTCTAGCCTCTCCTGATAACTGAAGTCCCTCGTTTCTGGTAAACCTCTTTTGCACTCTCCAATGCCTTAACTTCCTTGGTGCCCAGAACTGAACACAGTACTCGAGCTGAGGATTAACCATTGTTTTATAAAGGTTCATCATAACTTCCTGTCTTCTGTATTCTATGCCTCTATTTATAAAGCTTACTATCCCGTATGTTTTTTTAACAGCTTTATCTCCCTTTATCTCTTCAAAGATTTACTTATATTAACCCCCAGGTCTCTTTGTTCCTTTATCCCTTTTAAAATTGTACCATCAGCTTATATGGCCTCTCCTCATTCTTCCTCCCAAAATGTATCACTTCGCATTTCTCCACATTAAACTTCATCTGCCATGTGTCTGCCCATTTTAGCAGTCTGTCTATGTCCATTTTGAGTCTGCTACTATCCTCACTGTTTACTACTTTTCCAGCTTAGCATCATCTGCAAACTTGGAAATTGTACTCCCTATACCCAAGTCCAGGTCATTTATATAGATCAAAAACAGCAGTGGTCCCTGGAGGACACCACTGCACACTTCCCTCCAGTCAGAAAACTACTGTTCCCCACCACTCTCTGCTTTCTGTCTCCCAGCCAGTTCTGTATCCATTCTGCCACTGTCCCTTTACATTGTTGGCTTCTATTTTGTTTACAAGTCTCTTATGTGGCACTTTATCAAACGCCTTTTGAAAATCCATATAAACTACATCAACTGCATTACCTTCATCCACCCTCTCCATTACTTCATCCAAAAACTCTTATCAGGTTTGTTAGACATGATTTGCCTTTAACAAATCTGTGTTGGCTGTCCTTTATTAACCCATATTTTTCTAAGTGAAAATTTATTTTGTCCTGGAATATAGTCTTTAGAAGTTTCCCCACTACTGACATTAGGCTGACTGGCCTGTAGTTCCCGGGTTTATCCTTTTGCCCCTTTTTGTACAGGGGAGTAACATTTGCAACCCTCCAGTCCTCTGGCACCACCCCGGTGTCCAAGGAGGATTGAAAGATTGTGGCCA